GATCAGAAGAAAAAACCACAAAATTTTAGAATATTAAAGTAATTAGATGATGGTTTTATGTGTGATTTTTCCTTTTCTGATAGTGATTTTATAGAAGTGAGGAAAAATACAGATTAACACACCAGAAAATGAGAGCATGTTGGATAGTATTTTAGGGTTGTTACTGATATATCTGTCACAGTGAATTACAACAATATACCAATTCAAATTAATATCTATCAGATAAATAACCACTTTAGTCTTTTAAATAACTTTAGTCTTTTATACTTTTTTTGGCTTTTTAAAATCTGTTTTATTTGGATTCTTATACCTATCACCTTTTAAACCCCTCCAACATTAGGTAGGAGAGAAAGAAGGTTAGAGTAGGAAGGGCATGGGTCTCTTTAGACTACTCCCTGCTGATCAGGGTTGTCAAGTTCCTTGGGGAAAGTACAATCTTCACCTAGTCAGGACATCTCCAACTTCTTCTTGTCTCTTTTTTTCTTGACCACTCGACAAAGTAGCAACAGCAAATTTTTCCAATTTATATTATGGTCCTAATCTTTTTAAAAGTAATGCTAACCTTATATGGATGATGTCTGAAGTTTATTAAATGGGGTTAGGGTTAGAGTTAGGATTAGGGTTAGGGTTAGGAGCAAGAACCAGAGGAAGGAACACCTGTGCCTCCTGTCTTGGGGCTCTGCTCTTTTTGTATCCTCTCCAAAGTCCCCAGAATTAAATCATCCTCAGCTGGAAGAATCATGCCCCTGCCAGAGCATGCAAGAGGCAAATAGTCTGCTGCTGTGGGAAATCTGAAGCAACCCCATATCCAACACCTGGGACTAAAACAAAAACATGTTTACATAACATAACTGGATTTTTAAAGACACCAAAATTCTCACTATGCACATTACATATAAAACAGATCAAATTTAATTTAATTGATATTCTTATTTAAAATGCTTTATGCTACTTATGTGGCATACACAAAAAGCAACTATCATAGGAACTTGGAGTTCTTTGAACTTTCTCTGCACTGGAGGAGTTCCCTCTAGCATAACTCATCAATACTTCTGAGCCTGGCCTCCTGCCGCGGTACCATGCAATCTGCTACAAAACACAAAAACAAAATCCAATATTGAGCTAAAAACACTTATTTTTTAGGAGGCACAAAAGACTGCAAATTAAATACCAGAAGAGAGTGGTACAAAGTGTAAAAAGACTCCTCAGGAGGCCTGGCAGAGGGCCTTCAGGAGAAGCTTAAGAAGTGCCCCAAAGGGGACAGAAGCTGCCCTGGCTCTTATGTGTATGCCCAGCCTCTACCTAGAGCGCTGGCTGCTGAGAACCCAGGGGAAGCCTGTACCTGAATGATCAGGGACTCAGTGTTCCTTGCTTTCCATCCTTTGTCAGATCAAGCTAATGTGTTGTCTTAGTTTCACAATTTTTAGCTTTTTCTGTGTTCATGTCCGGTCATTTGATACTTGAAAAATGTCCCCACTTCTCCTGAGGCAGTGAGAGCATCGATTGAGGCGGAGGGTCTGCAGCCAGACTGTCTGCTCTCTAGCTCTCCCTCTTCTACACTCTAGCCTGGTCCTGGGGATGGCATCGAGCTTCTCTCTGCCTTGTTTTCCTCATTTGTAAAGTGGAACTAAAATAACGCTCACCTGTCCTGAGGCTTCAGTTTGCTGATGAATCTGTTCTACTTAGGGGTGTGCCTGGAGTGAGCTATAATTGTTTCTTCTGTTGTAGAAGCTATCTCTACATTGCATCGTCACGCACTCTTGTATTAACAAGCAAGTTCTTCATTCTACTACAGTTGAGAAGTGGGCTCTTTATGTTGTATGCACAAAGCCAATGTACAGTGATGGACTGCTAGACTATTTGCTGAGGAGCCAGGAAAAGGCTTCTTCCTTCAGTTGAAATGTTTTCTTTATTTGATTCCTAAAGCAAGACTCACCCTTTAATTTAATGACTAGAAATAAAATAGTTCCAGCACAGGGCTGAAAGAGATACTTAAGAGCATTCTGTCCTTGCAAGGGACTTGAGCTGGGCTCCCAGCATCCCTGTTAGGTAGCCTGTAACTCAAGAGCTGAGGGATCTAATGTCCTCTCTAGCTACCTGTACTCATGTGCATACGCCCACACACAGACACACAGGCATACACATAAATGAAAAGTCTTTAAAAAGTATGTACTTTGGGATGCTGCTAATCTAGTATGTCTTGGGTTTATGATAAAGTATTAATCGCAGAAGACATTTATAATCTCAAAATCAGAAGATAGAGAAGGGAAAGTTGTGAGACAGAGGGGAGCTGAAAGTATGGAACTTTATGTTATTTCACTTTAGGTCTGTTCAGTTTTCCTATGTGATTTTTTTAGAAGAGTCAATTCCAGTGTGCCTGGACAAATGCCTTCCTTAGTTAATATGTCTGCAAATGATTTGACAGCTCTTGCCAAATGGTGGTGATGTTTTGCTGCCTGTGTTTATAACTGGGAGGACCAAAAACAACAACAAAAAAATCTTGACTTGGTTGAAATTTGGCATGTCACCAATATCTCCTCATGGTTCTGTGGTCCTCTTTATTGCTTTTGAGAGCACTGCAGACAGTCACTATCTCTTTTCGGAAGCATCCTTCAAGGTTTCTAGTGATCTTACAGCATGTTATTGTCCTGGTCCAGATCTTTATTCTTCATACATCTTTCTTGATCAACTCTGCCTGTCTGCTTCTCCCTCTCCAGGAACCTCTAAATGATCATCTTAAAAATCCTCATTCATCCTTTAACCTCATGGTTTAACAATACTCCCATTCTGCATCTTCGTCTAAATAGGGAAACCCTGTCTCATTAGCCTATCCAAGGTCATTCCTGTTCCCTACATACACCACATTTGTTCATGCCCCACCCCAGGAGTCTCTCCGCACCAAAAGCTGTATGTTCATTCACTAACTAACGTGTTTCTGATGTTCTATTTTTAGAAGAGCTTATCTTTCTGTATTAGGAGTTTAAAGAGGGAAGGATGCTTTTGATGGTCAACTGATTTTGATTACTGAATGGCTTGCTCTGTGAATACTCTGTTGCTGCTTCATGAAGTGCTATGTTCTACTATCCTCCTTGAACATGGTTTATGGATCCCTCTTCTTTTCTTCTATCCAAAGACTTTTTTTTTTTTCTGGAGACCTACAGAGGATTTCTCTTCTCATTGGAGTTCTGTGTAGCCCTTTCTATAATGTCCAATTCATTTAACTACAATTTAAAAAGGGCAGAAATTCTAAGGGAGCATCTTACACATCTGTCAATAAAGGTTACTAGTAATTCCCACATTACAGGGGTAGATCTATTCAAGCTCCTTTCCTCCTTAATGTCAGGAGAGGGAAATGATGGAGAATCTGACTGAGGACCAGACAGTAGCTTTGCAGATGTATTCTTAACTAAGGAAGGCATTTGTCCAGGCACAAATCATATAGGAAAACTGAACAGACCTAAAGTGAAATAACATTCCGTGGTTAGATATTTACAGTTTGGGAAGGAGGGAGGTGATGCAGAAGGGGGAGGGCTGTAGTTATCTGAGAGGATGAAGCGAAGGCAGCAGGGTGAATCCCACCTTTCCATTTTCTTCAGCTGTAAGTACTGGCACCCGGGACCAGAGCAATGGCCAATAAGACAGACATCAACGAGCAATTTACCTATTTAGAAAACTTCTATACAGCTTCTCTTTTCTTGCAGTCCGGCTTCAGGAACTATAACAGAGATATACAATGGAGCAAGCAGAATCCCTCGGTCCCCCCAACATTGTCATTTCAGGATAAGTGTGCCCACAACTTACCAACTCATTAATAAACACCAGGAACCTCACCTGCTCCTAACTGGGACCTGAAAGTAAATTTGTAGTCACCTGTATTTGTTCTCTTACTTACAGGTGAAAAGATTTTTACTTAATGTCTGATTCAGTGAGAACAATTTCAGAACAAAAGGGATGAAATAAATGGTAAGAATTAAATCTACCATAATGAGAAAATCGTAAGAAATCTACACCAGAGTGGCATATTATTATATATAAATTACACTTCGAATGAGGACAAATGGGGTTGCTCAAAATATTTGGAAAAAAAATTACAAAATGAGGGAACAGATTATGTTGGAAAATGAGCATCTGATATTTGGAATTCACGAGATATCACCTTGGGAAACAGTTGGCAAAATGGCTGACTTTGAAAGAGTTTAGCTCTGCTCCCCCAATCTCCGGAGAAGTTGAATCACCTTACTTTATATTTATTTCCTAAAGTGCCAAAACACTTATAGACTTAGCCAGGAGACCACAAAGTAAAGATGTTAAATAAACAAGCCAAACTGTAAAAGTTCATCAAACGCAAATGGAATCTTTTTGGGTTCCTTTTATCTTTACAGTTTCAGAACATCAGTATAAAAGAAAATTTTCATTTTCCTAGGAAGCCCCCACTGTATGCCTCAAGACTCCTAACCCCTCACCCGAGTCTGCGGATCTAATTTGATGTGCCTCCCTCTTTTTTTTTTTTTTTTTTTTTTTTTTTTTTTTTTTTTTTTTTTTTTTCTTTTTCTTTTTATGAGGTGTGTGACCAAGGTTTCCATAACTTCTCCAAAGTGTCGCTGGCCCTGAAGAAGTTGAAGTTCACCGCACTCTCCCTTTTTGGAGCCCTTCCCAGCTCGCACCATCTCAGCGCTGCCTCCAAGCGCTTTGTTTCTGGGAGCTGAAGGGGGCGTGCGGCGAGGCTCCTGGACCAGCCGGGGCCGTTGGTCCGGCTGCAGAGACAGGGATGCTCTGAGGAGGACGGGTCTGGAGGTGGCTGGGGCCGCTCCAGGCGCCGGGCCGCGTAATCCCTGCGCTAAGTGCTTGGCTCGCAGTCTGCAGTCACTAGTGGGAGCTGGAGAGGGCGAGCGAGAAAAATTCCAGCGGCGGCGGCGGAGCGGGAGGAGGGAAGGGAGCTGCTGCTGCGGCGGCGGCGGCGGCAGAAGTTGCCGGCGTGGTGCGCGGAGCGCGGGCGCGGAGGACGCGGGCCAGGGGCGCGGCGGCGGGTAAGGTGCTCTGGGGGTCCGGGAGGGGGTGCGGGCCGGGGGTCCCCGGGAGAGCCCGCGCTTTGTGCGGCGGTCCCGGCGGGACACGTGCTCCTCGGAGAGTGGGGCGCTCCCGGGCCACGAGCGCGGGGGACGCCGCGGGGTTCCCCGGCTCGGGACCAGCCACCTGCCTCGCCCGCTCCGGGGACCAGCCCGGAGGGCCACCGCGCTCAGGGCATGGCCGCAGCCTCCGGTCCCTTCGCGCTCACCCCAGCCGCTCCATCCTCTCCGTCCTCCTCTCTGCCCCGCTCCTTCTGAGTTTCGCCGACGCGGAGCCTCACTCCGCGGCTGACTTGCCTCCCACCCTCGCTCCCCGCACTCCTTTCCCCCCGTCCCGTGTCGCCCCACGCTCTTCCCCTCCGTCCCCTGCAGGGTGAGGGTTTCTGACTTTGGAGAAAGACCCTCCGGAAGTTGTGCGGGGCGGCAGGTATCTTGTTTCTCTGAACCTCTCCAAGGGGGCTGAGTGCTCGGTGCTGTGAGCGGGGACCTTGTCGCCTCCTTGAGTTATTAGGGACTGCTCTTTTCTTAGTCACCTTCCCCCCAAGGTGAGGTCAGTTGCCTTGAGCGGCCACAAAGGTGCCAGAGAAACAAAACAGAAGAAGCGAGCTGAGGAACAGAAGGTTCCAGACATATCTGCAGTGAAGCGGAACCACCTGAGAGAAGGTTCCTAGATTCTGGAAAAACAAAAGGCTGCACCAGTCCCCAGGATGGAGTTCAGCTGAAGAGCATTTGAAAATAATCTGAAAAAGCGCTTGGTGTAGGTACATCTTGCTGCTCTAACTTGAGGCCAAATCTTTAGTTTTCATATGTATATTTTTCGGGATCTTGGTCACAACTTCCCTAATTATTACTTTGGGAAAGTTAAGGGAAATATTCTATGTCAGCGGGGACATTTATGTTTTTGGAAAAAAATAATTTCATCTTTGTTCTTTTATACCTTTTTACACTCTGCCGATCAAGGAGAATTATGTCTAACTGCAAGGAAAATAGGAAAGGATTTGTCAGTAATTTAAAAAATATGAGACATTCCAGGGATCAATAATTTCTTTGGAGAACTCTCATTACAAGTTCGTTGTCGAGGATATTACATGTTAGTAAAATATGTGAGTTGTGACACACTTGGATCATTGTGCGACACCAAAAAAAAAAAAGTTTGTGTGTTGCAAGCAAATCATACCAGTGATGGCTTTTTATGGAAAACTTAGCCTGAAGCTAATTGCTCCCATTTCAGTTTTCTTTAGTCCTGCATAGTGTACCTTTGTTTTTAGCAAAATATGGCCCAGGGCTACAGGACTGGGTACACTGTGTTATTTGTCCAGTCTGAATTACCATTTAGAAAACTACCTTTTCCTTTTGGTCACAGGAGGCAAGCTGATATGATCTTATTATGCATGTGTGAGGGGCTGCTGCTGAATTTTAGTAGCACTGATTTGTGAATTGAAACCAAACTGTTTGGGTCTTGGTGAGTTAAGAGTCTTGATTTATGTCCGGCTCATGACTCATCACTGTTGACAGCACCTATGCCACCTTGTTGACCAGGTGCAGCCGGTGTGGAGCCGGGCCGGGCTGTCTGAACCCCCCTGGTAGATTAGGATTGTCACAACCTAACTTCTTAACCACCAAGGGAGCAACTCATAGCCTGTTCAGAAGTCTCTCACGAAAAATATTTAAGCTCGCAGGATGTGTTTTTTTTTTTTTTTTTTTTCTTTCATGGCTACAACTTTTTCTATCTACGTTGGAAGTGGGTGGGGGAAGAGGGAGGGAAAAAGATTGGGTCACATCAGTAGCCCTTCTTGAGGCTTGTTTTCAACCGGAGGCCAACAGTTTAACTCCCATAAAATTCAACTGTTTTACCTGTAACTTACCTGGAGCATGATGGTTGGAAAACAGCTGTCACAGCTGGCTGCTGTGCTTGCCTATAATCTAGCACTCAGGAAGCAACGGCAGGAGGGGTTGAGAGCAATCTGGTCTGCATAGTGAATTTTAGGCTACCCAGGGTTACACAGCAAGATTGCATGTTAAACAAGGAATCAAATTAAACAGAGCTCCAAAAAATTGGAGAGAAGTGAACACCTAGGAGTCGACTGGGACATTTACAATGTTACTTTTGGGTATTTTTCATTTTCATCCATAGAAAGAGGGAAAGGCTGATGTAGAGTTTACTCCAGGCAGTTTTTCATATTTGTATGGTATCTTTTCACTTAGATGCTGAAGCCTTTTTATCTCTCTCTCTCTCTCTCTCTGGTATCTTGATTACGTTTGTTTTCACTTAAATATCTGTGTGCCTGCTCTGGACATCTCATCATTACACACTGTGGAGACATTGCACAATTGCAGATATAAGAGAAACACAGTCCTCTCTATTGGGCTTGTGCTATGGAGAGGGAAGAGAGTGGGTTATATAAGCACAATCCATTGCTGGTAGTGAAGGTTGCCATTAGGAACGTCAGAGTTATGTGATGGGAGCCTAGAACCAGGTGTGTTCCAGGTGCATCCCTGGTCACAAGAAAGTAAACCCCTGAGAAGAAAAAAGGGATCACACCCTGGCCGGAAATGATGGGGACAACGGAAATGAACTCAGAGGCATAACCAGGCCTGAAGGATAAAACATGTGATTCAAAGGACACTTCACTGAGCCCTGTGGAGGATGCTAGAGAACCGAGCAGACATGACATAGCACATCTGTCTTATGAGAACGGGAGTGTCTACGGTGAGATGGTGTGGGAAGTGTGCAGTGATGTAGCTGAGAGGCTGGCCAAGATGGAAGCAGCAGTCATTGATCCTTATCACTGAATGGAAGGATCATCGGGTTGATTCATCACCGCTCATTCATTTTTCTTCTAGTGTTGGGGAAAGAACCTATAACCCTGAGCATTAGACAAGGGCTTAGTACTAAGCTCCACCCCCAGTCAGACATTTCCTTCCAAAGGTCAGACAGACTTCAGTCCCTTCTCACAGTTTTCAGATGTAACTTCCTTATCTTCCTTCAGGTGGGAAACCACAGTGCACCCCAGGAAGTGTGGCCTATTCTCAGAGCCGTGGATGACGTCAGGACAGTTGTCAGGACATGTGGTTCTTTTTGAACGGGGTACAGGGAGGGCAGTTGTCTACCCTCACTTCATTTGTGGTAAGGGAAGCCACAGAGGAAGGAAAGCAAGTAGAAGTCCTCTAGTCTGAGTGGCTTTGTTTTCTGCCAACTGTGAAACTTGGGAAGCTTCCTGAAGGACTCCCTGAGCTGTGCGATCTGGACATCACCCACCATGGAATCTCAGCCCCTTGCCGAACCATGTTAGCATGTAGGCAGCAGTGACAGTTGAAATAATGCTGCATGTTTCATTGGTCTGATTTTCCGTTTCCTCTTTTTCAACCAGTAAATAAATGGCTGCAGCTTAATCAGTTACAAAGTAGTCTTGGGATTATTTCCCTCCTGAAGATAGTATTTGCTTATTGGCTAAAAGAAAAGAATGGTATGGTTCAATTTATGTATGTCTGTAACATTTCTTGCCTGGCTATATTGAGATAAACATTTTAGTCATTTTTATAACAGTTAGATAGATAGGGATTTAAATAGGTACAGAAACATCTGTCACTAGTTAATTTGATGATTAATGGCTTTAAAGTGATTCCAGGAAGTCAGTAATGATCATGGCTTTGTCTAAATTAATCTCTGACTAGGAATCAGTGTGTTTTATCTAACTAATACACTTTACAGCCATCTATAAAAGGCACTAAATTGTCGGCTCTTTGGAAGAAGTTGCTCTTCTGCCATTGTCCAACACACTTTAGCCATCACACAACCAGCCTGCCCTGAAGCGCTTTCTCTCACGACAGGATGCAGCAGAGGACTCAGTGGCAACCTTAAGCAGTGTGGTTGGGCCTCATTCTTCTATGTGTGGACCTCTTCTCCCACTACTTTTGGTCATTTCCAACTGGCCAGCGGTCCCTTCTGTACCTGCCTGCTCTTCTTTCTGCCTCCACTGCCTTTGCCAAACCTCTGCATGATTGCCCACTGGCTTCTATGTCAGATGTTTTCTCTGTTGATCTGGGACCGTTCTCAACCCTTCTATTTCATGCTCTCCGGGCAAGAAGATAGCCTGGCGGAAGCACCCTGATTTCAGGTGACTCAGATTGTCGGGAAGCGTGGCTACAGTGGACAGAGCTGGGGAGGGTGGAGAGTGAAGCCATGTGTTCTCTTGGCTCCTTCTCTGCTCCATTATCTTGGGTGGCCTGTGCTGAAAGTCACTGTTCCCCCTGGGGTTCAGATTCTGGTCTCCTTGAGCACTTTGCTTTGTGGCTCACAGCTTTTTAGGTTGTAGTTTGTAAATAAAGCCTCACTTTCTGAGAAGATGTGTGAGGGAAGGTTCTGTTTTCTCTTCACCTGCTTTCGGCACACCTCCTTTTCGAGGAGTCTTCTTGGATTGATTAGAGGAGCAGTTGGCCTTCCTTACCACCGGTGGACCAACTTTCAAATTGTAGGATTATCCTTCCCACATTGGCTCATGAGCATGTTATTATTTAAATATTTTACTGCCAATCTTTTTACTGGTTTAAACTCTTTGCTTAATAACTTGTATTCTTTTTATGCATAAATTTTGCTTCTTTTCTCATTTTCTATTCAGGAAGAGAGTGCAAATTTATAGAGTCATTGCTTAGGGCCAAACACTGGGTTAAGTAGTGTGGATACACAAAAGACAGTCTTTGACCCTTGTTTGGAGTATACACTGGGGCTGGAATAAACAACTGAATGCAAGGTTTATAAACTTAGTTTGGTAGTAGGGTGAATGAAACATACTGTGACGAAAGAGAGATGCAGGGGACAGGGGTGGCGGGATCATTTGTGTGAGCTCATAAGAAACTCAGATTCAGGGTCACGTGTAAGTGACTGCCAGTAACCTGCATATCAGTTGTGCAGGCTGGAAATACATAGGTGTTAGAGGCTTTCCTAATGACACATGTGATGA